TTAATTGGAGTAATGAATAGCGGGCCGGAGGGGCCGGCCACTTCACTTGGTAAATTCAAACCCTTGCTATTCATCAGGATGAGACTGAGGTGAAGTGCTTTCTAGAGGAGATGAGCAGCCAGACTGATGGCAGGTCAACCCCAACGCAGTATTTCCCTTGCATCATGAACCTGCCATCCGTCCTCTGTCCCTCTGGGGCACTGCGTCCTTCCAGCAGCTGAAGGGCCCCTGCACTGATTGCAGGAGTAGCTTTGCTGAGAGACCCTCACCAGCCTAATCCTCTGGCTTTTTGGTCCAGGCAAACTTTACAGCCTCTGGGATAGCTTTGGGTCTCGCTGCACTTCCAAGTAGCTCTGATGGGCTGCAAAGAAGGTCCCAATGGGCAGGAGAGGCTGCTGGACACAGCTTCACGTCTTCCCCTTCATCTTCTTAGCTCCTGCACCCACTGCTGGCCTACACAGTTGCTTCTCACATATCCACCAGCAGTGGTTTCTGGTTTCCAGGCATCTCAGTCTGTGAAATTAGTTAGAGGAATGCAGCTTGGGCATGGGGAAGGTGAAGATGGGGATCATCTGCTCTTTCATCCAGAACACTCAGAATTTTATAATTCTGTTCATTAGCTGAACCAGAAAATATGTCGCCTCAATTCACCCACAGCTTCTCTGGGCAGCAGTGCCAGGGCCTACCCACTCTCTGAGTGAAAAATTTCCCCGTGACATCAAATTGAAGTCTCCCCTCTTTTAATGTAAAGCCATTCCCCTCTTTTAATTTAAAGCCATTCCTCCTTGTCCTATCACTATCAAACCACGTGAAAAGGTCAGTTCTCCTCCTGCTTGTAAGCTCCCTTCAGATACTGGAAGGCTGCAATGATGTCTCCCCTAAGACTTCTCCAGGCTGTACTAGCTTAGCTCCCTCAGCCTGTCTTCTTGGGAGAGGTGCTCCAGCCCTCTGAGCATCTTTGTGGCTTCCTCTGGACCCACTCAGACAGCTCCATATCTTTCTTGTGCTGGAGGCTCCAGACCTGGATGCAGTACTCCAGATGGGGCCTCAGGAGGGGAGAACAGAGGGGAACAATCCCCTCTCTCTCCCTGCTGCCATCCATCTTTTGCTGCAGCCCAAGATACTGTTGGACTTCCAGGCTGCAAGTGCACACTGCAGACTCATGTCCAGCTTTTCATCCACCAGGACCCCCAAGTCCTTCTCTGCAGGGCTGCTCTCAAGTTCTCCCAGTCTGTATATATCTAGGATTGCCCTGACCCAAGACAGTCAGGTGCCTTGCAGGGGGACAGAGTAGGGACCAGCTCCACTGAAAAGGCCATGAAGGCCAAGCTGGCCAGAAATCAGCAGGACGCCCTCGCAGAGCACAAAACCAACAGCGTCCTTGGCTGTATTAACCAGAGGGGAGCCAGCAGAATCAGGAGGTAATCCTATCTCTCCATTCAGTACATGTTTGTTCAATCTGGAGAAGCAAAGGCAAAGAGGAGATCTTATTGCTACCTACAGTAAAGAAGATAGAACTGGGCCCTTTTCAAAGACCTTCAGTGAAAGTGTAAGTGATGTGCGCAAGCAAAAACATGGGAAATTTCTATCAGATATCAGAAAATTATAGGTGGTCCAGTCCCAGGACAGGGCCTGCTGGGTCTCTTGGAGATGCTAAATGGCCATCTGGACAAGACCTTGGGCAACCTGACCAAACTTCATATTTGGCCCTTGTCTGAGCAGAAGAACCTCAAGAGGTCAGTAAATTTTTCTAGCATTCAAATATCATGCACAAAATCAAAGCATTTTTACCAAAAAACTTTCACAACCTTGTGATGCATCATGCCATAATTGCTCTTGGAATCTTTACCGGTGACTGGAATCATTTTTCTGCAGGTGAAGTTGACCATAAGGTCAGAAGTGACTTTCTTCTCACTCTAAATGTTCAAAACTGACTCCAAGGCACAGGCTGTCTGTTCAGTTAGAAAGACCTGTATCACTAGATGTCCCACTGAGCATCGATTGATAGATATTTTCGAACATATGCTTTGTTCACATTCTCATTGGCAGAACATACACTTTCAACTGTCTATAAATCCATCCTTAACATGAGACACGGGGAACAATTCCTGAAAACATGAACAGTTCAAAACAGGAGCCATTTGTTTTCATTTTTTCACTCCATCCAGCTGTATTTTTCCTCAAAACAAGCACACAGAAGGAGTGATACGCAGCACAGCGCTGTGTGACAGCCCACAGATGGATGCATTCCTAATGAATATGAAGAAGTTGAAAATGCACTGATAAGAGATATGAAAGAAATCTGGGGAATTTGTCCATAATTAGATTACACTCTGCGCACCCTGTCTGAATGAATGAAGACACAGCAGTGGCAACCGCCTGACAGCTCTGCTAATATAACCAGTAGGGTTTGTGGTAGCAGACATCTGCTTAAAAGCTGTGATGCAAATCTGCCCCTAGAGGCCAATCAGGTGGACTTTCGACATTGTTCTAAAACATTCAAAGCACAATTCATACTTGCTGGAAGCAGGTGCAATTCCATTAAACTCAAAGGTACTACTTATGTTTGATTAATTACAGCCGTATTTCAAACAATTCCTATCAGTCTACAAGCGGGGCAGAAGTGCAAGTTGGAATAATCCTATTCGTCACCAAATGTTCAAAGATCAGCAGGGTGCTGTGAGGCTATTGGCCAGTCCTGGGCCTTAGAAGTGTGCCCTAATAGAGTGACTGAAGTGCAAAGCACATTTTGCTCCTTCTCTGTGATCTCTGAATCAAGGACTTCAATTTTGCTGCATCTCTTCCCTCATGCTTGCTGTCTTGCATTCAGACATGCATGTAGATCTATCTCCTTGTCTAGAAGAGCAATAAAAATAATATTATGGGGTTGTTTTGTTTTGTTTTGTTTTTCTTCGAGAGCAGAAGCATTTCCAGATTTATTGCAATAATCCAAGCACAGGTCAAATATGGAAGAGGGCCAGAGGGGGGAAGTCTGGACACTATCCTCCCGCACATCACTGCGGACAGCAGGCACCCACCTCCATAGAAATAAATAACCACTAAGCCATTCCCATTTGTGTTTCTAATTAGTGCAACCTATTTAACAAAGAGACACATAATATAGGTCAATTATGTAGGTCACGATAAATTTGTGAAGAACTTTGTCCTGTAGGACACCAACAAGACCACGCTGAGGCAGCATTTTCAAAGTTATGGCTCATTTCTGTGCACAGCTCACCGAGTAGCAGGAAGAAACAACACGGAGGGCTGTTTGTGTCTTCTGGTAGCACAGCCAGAGCCACCACTGAAAATATCACTCATGTCTTCTGGGACACTGTAATTGACTGCAGAACGGTGGAGCTCATTCAGCATTTATTGCAGATGAATCCAGTTTGAAACAACTAACATCATCTATCACACTGTATTGCATCCAGCCTACAGATTGCAAATTTGGCTCAGTTCTAGAGTGCTTCATAGTTGGAGTTTATTGCTGGATGATAGCCTAGTTTGGAAGAAAAGAAGCCAGGAAGATCAAACACATAATACTTCAGCCACAGAAATCATTGCAGCATCATTAGAAAGACAGAGAGCTAGAATGACAAAGCAGCCAGTGAAGGAGTAAGACACTAATATGCCAGATGCATGTTTTAATCCCAATCTTCTAAGAATGGGAGGTTTATGTGATTGTTTTGCCCACCTGCTGCCCCTCCAAAACTTTTGAATCTCTTAATAGTTTCAGCCAGACATGACAGAAACATAAATGTTTCAGAGAGATTTAACATTTATGAGTTCATCAGAAACTGGTGGGTACCCAGTAGAGACAGAGAAGTATCTTATTTATGCTTTCTCTGTGGGAAGTGGCCACTCTACATCTGTCTGGTGTGTCTGATAGCATAGCTGGGATGGGTACAGCTTTGAAAAGGCCACATCTACACCAATTCTCGCCTTGCTGGAAATGTCAGGGAGAAATGATGGGGAAACATAGTAGAGGGCATCAGAGGAATCAGCATGTGCCACCTGGGCTTCAGGTAAGTGATGGGACAACAGAGCTACCTGTAGGGTGAGGGATACAGGGAGGATGTGGAGGTTGGCAATACAGGGAGGATGTGGAGGTTGGCAATGTCTCAGCAAATCCTACAGATATGTGTGGTTTGCAGTGGGGAGACGCGATGAAAGGAGCACTCTTCTGTTTGGACTGAAAAAAAAGTAGAAAACTGAATTGCTAAGAAAAACAAGGGTGGAGTTGCTGTCCCTGGAGGTGTTCAAGAACCACGGTGATGAGGCACTGAGTGATGTGGGTTAGTTGGCATGGCGGGGATGGGTCAGCAGTTGGACGTGATGACCTTAGAGGTCTTTTCCAACCTCAGTGATCCTATGATTCCCACTTCAGCTCTTCTCCCAGGTTAGGTGCAGGGGTACTGCAGCAGTGTCATCTTCACTGGGAAAACACAAAGTGACTGAAGTGAAAGAGCCATTTAGAGCCTGACTTAAGCAGAACAGTGTGCACTTGCAGAGGAAAGCAGCCGTCTGATGGATTCTTGGCTGCCATGTACCAACACTTTGTGCCCAGAACACAGCTGGATAAAACCTGCAGGTAAAGAGTTCTTGTCAGGACTGGGTCTGACCAGATACGCTGAAGGTCTGTAGCAATCCTATTGACTATCTTTTTGATGACCTTACTCTACCACAACTGGGAGCCAACAGGAGCTTCTGCTTGACCAGATGAGATTCTCATCTAGTCCACGTTACTTTCTGTGCATACTCGTTTTCCACGTAAGAATTCTTCCTTACACAGAACAGAACGTCCAGCACTCGTTCCTACACAGGCCCCAGGTGCGCTGGGCACCCCTGGAAGGCGCCTGGCCGCGGCATCAGCCCCAGCTCTCGTTCTCCCCTCACACCACCGCGCCCAACCCAACCCAGCACGCCATGCCCGGCACGCCGCAGGGCCACCCGATGAGCGCCTCGCCCGCTGCCGGCGGCCTCCCGCGCCTGCGCAGTGCCAGCGGTGTCGCCATGGCGGAGCCGGCAGCGGCGGCGGCGTGAGTGCGGGCGACGGGGCCGGGCGGGCGCGGGCGGCGGGAGCCGCGCGGGGGCGGAGGCGGGCGGCGGGGCCGGGCCGAGCGCAGGGAGGTTTACCGGGCGGCGCGGTTTAAGCGGGCGGGGACCCGCGGGGCTCTGCCGGCGGCAACGAGCCCTGCGTCCCCTTCTCCGCCCCCCGGCCAGCCCCGGGAGGAGCCGATGCGTGTGCCGGACAGAAAGGCGTGAGCTGCGCAGCGCTCGGGGCTGTCCCTGCTCCGCTCCCCGTTCAGCTCACGCACATCTCTGCGTCCGGAACGGATCCGGCTCCTGCTTTCCTTTCAGCCGTTGGGCACCGCAACTCTAGCCGAGGCCTTTCTCAGAGCGGGAAGGCTGGACAGTGTGCAGTAATTATCGCTCCTGGTTGTGTTTGTGCCTGCAGTCTCACCTCCTTCCATTTCTAGAACGTTTGACAGCATGCCACAATCCCCTTGAATTTTAAATTCCTCCCACTCGCCCTCTATTATCCACTAAATTCCCGTCATCAACCGATTGCCACTGTCAAAACCTCCTTGAAGTCAGCTTCAGTGACTGGATTCCTTCCTCTTTTTCATTACACTGCCAAACAAAGTAGGGATAAGTAATTTTTTCACCCTAAATCACCGTTGACTGCTTTTTAGTCATCGAGGTGTCTGCGTGGACACCTGTACAAGTGTTCTGTTGTGCTCTCCTGTAGTTTCTTTCCTGGTGTTGGGAACCAGCCCAACTCCCTCCATCTTCTTCCTTAAACACTGGTTTTACATTCATAGAGTCACAGAGTCATTGCGGTTGGAAAAGTGCACTAAGATGATCGTGTCCAACTGGCAGCCCATCACCACCACACCCAAGTCCAGTCTCCTGGGCACTCCTTTGTCATCCAGGAACAAACAAAGATAACTGCACATGATTCAGGTTGCTCAGAGAGGTTGTGGGAGGGACATCCTTGTCTAGGATCCAATGGGGGTAAAGTCCTCAGCAACTGTTGGATCCCCACAGCTGCCTGTGATTTGAACAGGAAGCCTCTCGAGGTTCCGTCCCCCTTCAGTTTAAGCTTATAGGATCATAGAATGGTTTGGGTTGGAAGGGACCTTTAAGGTCATCTAGTTCTAACCCCTGCTATAGACAGGAAATCCAGTTTCTCTGGTTTCTCCTTTCTCAGTTCTTTTGTAGGCCTCAGGAAGAGTGGGAAAAATATATATATATTTATGCTATTTCACATCTTAAAATTTGCTGTAGGTCTCAGTGACATTCTGAAGAAGAATGGAAATACACCTTATGAACCAGTGGGAAAGCAGTGTGCAGTGTTACAGGCATCCAGCTGCCGTGGAGGCTTTCCATGTCTGGGACAGGCAGCATGAGAGAGAGGGATTTGCTGCTAGAACCAATTTTACAAGCAGTTCATAGCATAATCCCAGCTTTATGAATGCAGGACACTGCATGATCCTGATAAAGTCATTTTACACATCTAGCTGCAAGTTTCCCTGGATTTGTCAAGATAGATTTGATCTCTGAAGAGTTTAGCTGATACCTTAGTCTCACTCTACTGAAGAAGCTGAAGGCATAAATCCTTTTACATGCAACCAGGACTCTGTCACTGTGTGTAAGGCTTTTTTCCACACTCTGTTGCAGTGGACGGTTGCTTTCTTTGACAGTCATGCCCAACTATCAGGAAACAATCCAAAGGATGGAACACCTCCTCTGCGAGGACAGGCTGAGAGAGCTGAGGCTGTTCAGCCTGGAGAAGAGAAGCTCCAGGAAGAGCTCAGAGCAGCCTTTCAGTATTTCAAGGGGAGGGACGTAAGAAAGAAGGGGACAGACTCTTTAGCAGAGTATGTTGTAATAGGACAGGGGGAAGTGATTTCAAACTAAAAGAGGGGAGACTTAGATTGAACACAAGGAAGTCGTTTCTTAAATAAGGGTGGTGAGGCACTGGCAAAGTTGCCCAGAGATGTGGTAGAAACTCCAACCCTGGTGACACTCAAGGTCAGGCTGGACAGGGCTCTGTGCACCTGATGGAGCTGTAGGTGTCCCTGTTCATTGCAGAGGGGTTGGATTAGATGGCCTTTGAGGGTTCCTTCCAACTCAAACACCTCTATGGTGCTATGAACATATTTACCACTGACAGTTAAGTATTTAACTAAAGCTCAAGTCAAGTTTATTTCCACAAGTCTGTCATCAAATAATCATCATGCTTTTACCTCTTTCTTTTTAGAATACTTTCTCCCTGTTTAGAAAGTAAAACACATCTTTCTTTTCTGTTGGATGTAGGAGTGATGGGGAAACCACTTATTCTGTGTGAAACAGAAATAAAGCATTCGGTAACAGAAGGAAACAAAACATCTGATAAATGGAAGCCATGAAGATATCAAAGCGGTTCTTTGCGTTTGGGATTTTGGCGTGCATAGCGTTTTACGTCGCATACATGAAATGGCACTTGGATTCCAAAGCGCTTGTGGCAGCAACGGAAGGAATTGCTGAAAGCACTGGAGACAAACTGAACCGTCAGGCGCTGACCGCAGATCTCTCAGTCTTCTATGGAATCATGTTTGATGCGGGAAGCACAGGAACTCGCATCCATATTTTTAAATTTACACAGCAGCCAAAAGGTACGGCTTGTGCATGGCGCAATATGCAAACTCCTCCATAAATTGTGGTGCAGCCTATTGATGGTTCTGTTCTAGGGAGTACTTGCATAAATGTGCTTCAGCTTTCTCTAGAGCCGCCAAGAGGGACCCATGCTGCCTTGCCTGCATGTTCATGTAATTGTCTATCCTGCAGCTTTCCAAAATGCTTAGGTCTCGCTCTTTGCTGCCATTGAAAATGGTGGTAAAACTTCCACTGACTTTTGTTAGAGTCAAATTTAGCCAGAGCTGAGCATGCTGAAACATGTGGCCCTTGTTACCTGTGTAGTTTGGAAGGCTGCATATAACGGGGTTATATAAGGGGTAAGGGATCAAAGAGAACTTGTACCATAGCCTCCCCAGGGAGATGGTTGAGTCACCATCCCTGAATGTGTTTAAAAACCTTTGGATGTGGTGCTCAGGGGCATGATTAGCGGAGGGTTGTTAGTATAGTATGGTTAGGTCGTGGTTGGACTCAATGATCTTTAAGGTCTTTTCCAACCTGAACAATTCTATGATTCTATGATCTAGTGATGTGTCTGATGTGTGCAAAAAAATACACGTATGGTGCACACCAGCACAGTCAGCTTTAACAAATAGTTTTGTAGAGAGCTAATTCCATAGCGGAGGCTGTGTTTAACAGATTTGATGGCCTTTGATAGTTCTTTAAGCAGAGGCTTCAGTTTATTCTCATTAGTGCCTAATGATATAATTTGTACTATGGTTTTCTTTTTGTGTATCCAAATGATTTGTACCAGTACTTATTTTGGAATACTGCTTTTGAACAGAGACTCCCAAGTTAACCCATGAGACGTTTAAAGCGCTGAAGCCAGGTCTGTCTGCATACGCTGATGATGTCGAAAAGGTATTCTTGTTTCTCTTAGAGTTCACGTGCCCTAAAGCCTCCTGTTCTTGATATGCCATGCAGATCATCTCTGCTGAACTGTCTCAGATCGGTCTCCAAATGATACAAACCCATAGGAAAAATTGGTCAGCTGTCAGAGGATCAAGGAACCAAATGCATCTTATTCTGCTCGCTTATGTCAATTAAGAAGAGCTGATGCTTTTCGTATCCCTGCCTTAATATTTTCTGTGTGCTTAAGAATATGACAAAAGAGCGAGGTTGCATTGGAGCTGAGCCATCTCCAAAAGGGACTAGCAGTAGATTCTCAGGGGAAGAATCAAAAAAACCCAACAGGCCAAGTATCAAGTCACTGCCTGCCTCATCTTCTGACTCACAGGGATGTGGAGACTTGCTGAGCCAGACATGAACACAGCTCATAGTGTTTTCTTAGCCCCAAAGGGCTTTATTGCCCAAGGATTTATCACATTGATTTTGATTTTTGTAGCCAAACCTCTGGTATTGTTTGGCAGTGGCACTGTTTGAGAGTGAGTTTTTTTGTTTTTGAACTTGCTGATGGATAAACCCAGTTATACCTATATGCCTTCTGGCTCCTTTTGGTCTTTACTTCTCCCTGTTCCACACTTAGATTCCTCTGATCACCCTTTTGCCCTTCCAAGAAAGGCAAATCTTAAGAGTTTCTAAGATCCTTTTTTGGGGGTTCTTTCTCTGCTCACAGAGTGGACAAGGAATAACAGAGCTCCTGGAGGTGGCGAAGAAGGAAGTTCCTATGGAACTCTGGAAGTTTACTCCTCTGGTCCTGAAAGCTACAGCTGGCCTGCGGTTGCTGCCAGGAGAAAAGGCTCAGAAGTTGCTGGATAAGGTACTGTTTCTTGTCTTTCAGTTTCCTTTCCAGAAATTCTATGACAATATTTGTTCCTTTCTGTGTAAAGCACATGCTCCTTTATGCTTCGTATGTATGAGTCATTCCTGTCGTTTTACTCTGAAAGCGCTGCACAGTCACCTGATCTCAGATGGGTTCAGATTAAGGAATTGTATGAGTACAGACATAGAGGAATAATGACAGCTCCAAATAAGCCTGGAAACAACATGCAACATAACAAGCATAATGTGATACTTCTAACAGAAATCAGAGACTTGTTGGTGCACTGGTTTGTTGGTGGTTTTGACCAGAATCCTGCTGTTCTGGGAAAAGCTCTCCTGTTTGATTTGTCGTGTTATCAGCCTGCTGCTGCAAGGTTCCTCGGCTCTATATTGGTTAGAAATAATGTGAATTGTATTTACAGGCACGTAAAATGTTTGATATTTTAAACCATGACAAGTATTTTAAAAATAAAAATATTATGTCCTAGATCTTACAGCTGCTGGAAAATTTAGTGCCCTAAATGTACTCTTTTTCTCAGCAGTGACTGGAAGGAAGAAATGTGTTGTGGTTTAAACCAATATTGTCCATATTGTTCTTTGCTGCCTACAAGACAGTCTGTTCTTTTTTCCATACCAAATTTCAGCTGGAACTAATGCAACTCTTAAAGTAGTTGCTTGAGGAGACACAAGAAACATAGGGTCTTACTGCCTCTTGCAGGGTGCAGTGCAGACTTCTAACAGCCAACATACTCATGTTAAAAAATGCCATCCCCTGGGCATTTGTGAAACCATGAGTGTCCATTTCCTTTCTCTCCTTTAGATATTCATACCCCATGTGTTGCTCACTGCAAGAGTGAAATGTTACCAGCATATCTACCACCATACCCTACCCATGTTATCAGCATTTCTGAGCAGTCTTCATGTTTGAACACCCACCTGTCTGTTCTGTTTCTTCACCAAACTGCATGTAAATCACTGACTTTTATAGTTTAGCACAGCCTGATGCTTACTGAGCTCTTGAACTTAAGGAATCTGGCCCAAGAAAAGGAATACTTGTGTAAAACCAGAGTTTAAATAAATACCCTTCCTTTCAAATGGAAAGAAAAAGATTTCTCTGAGTGTAGCTTTTATTCGAACTACAGGTGAAGGAGATTTTTCAGGCTTCCCCTTTCTTCGTGAGGGACAACTGTGTGTCGATAATGAATGGAACTGATGAAGGTAGGTTTACTTCTGAGGAACTTTTCTGCAGTTCTTGAGATTTCTACTGCACTGTGGCAGGACTTCACTGAGGGTAATAGGAACCTCTAAGTAGCAGGTTTGATAGTTTTTATACTACCTCAGGCTGTGCCTGCCAAAGAGATTTTGTGCTACATTTTCTGAGGTGAAGTCCTGAATTCTGTCCTGACTTTCAAAGGTCTGAGTGCCAGGCAGTTCCTGTGGGATCAGCAGGAGGCCACTGGGCAGTCAGCACTTTAGGAAGGTTTTTTGTATATCTGCTTGTTGAGATGGGCTTCAACAACTGCTTCTGCACACACCCTGCTTTGGATTATACTCATCTGAGCTTGCAACTGATCTAATAACTGTGATTGTGAATTGAACCTGAAAAAAAAAAGTTATATAGAGAAAATAACTATTAAAGTACACTGATGTTTATCAAAAAAGAGCTGAGGACCGAACCCAGAATCAGTCTTCACTTGAAGTGATTCAAAGGAGAATTTCTAAATTGTGGGTTACTTAGTGTTGAAGTGTTTTTAACTTACTTAGAAACAAAACTTGAAAGTAGCTGCTGATTTGGACTGCTTATGAGTTTCTTTTTTACTGCTTCATGGAAGAAAGACACTAATTGTCTTCATTTTAAGTTCATAGTTCTAACAGTTGGTTTAGCCAAGGTTGAACAAGAACTTGTTCCTCAGTGTGCCTTAATTTTAACCAAATGGATAAATATTTTAATTTGTTAACATAAAGGCCATTAATTCACCTAATTCGTAGAGGAAAGGTTTACAAAACAATAAAAGGACAGAAACAGTGTGGTTTGCAGAAGTGCCTTGAGGAAAACAGGGAAAATTTAAACACTGAAAAGATGAAAATTCTTAACATTCAAAAGCTAAATCAAATGCCTCACATCAAACAAAAGCTTGCCAATGGGTATTTTTCTAGAAAATGAACAATGTGAATGTAGGTAATTTCCTTATTACATAGCTAAGGACTGAAGCCAGTGAAGCCTTTGGGACTTCAAACTGAGGTTTTTGACCTGTGAAGAACCAAGTTCTCTAGGCATTTTGTATACAGGGCTTCTCCTCCTAGCACCACATAAGCTCTGGTGTAGAAGGTCATTCTATTTGTTCCAGGCATCTAATTTTGGCTTTTGACGGACATTGACAGTTGTGGAAGCAATGGCTTTGGGGCAAGCTGGGTCAGAGTAGCTCAGCAGAACCAATTCTGTTTGCTCCTCTTGGAAGTCCTTCCTGCTCAGTTCTCAGCTAGATATTGTTTGGGAATTTTGTATTAGAAATTGTCCATTTGTGAAACAGGGGCAAAGGAGCTTGTGACTGATAGTCTTGGCGCCTCTTTCTGTGCTTAGATGACTAGCTGTGGTTTGCTATTGTTTTGTTTAGATGGTGCAGTGAAAGCATGTGAGAAAACCTTAAAATACCTCCAGCTAAAAAGATACTAAAGCAGGAACACCTTGTTGTATGGCTCATCTTAGTTGTTACTGTTGGATAAAATGAAGCTATGTGATCTAACAGTGCATCTTCTGAATCTCTTCCTTGTTAGGTATTTCAGCCTGGATCACAATAAATTTTTTAACAGGTATGTTTATATGAGCTTATCTATGAAAATATGCCTAATGCTGTGTATACTGTCTTCTGCCCCTGTATATTATTTGTTCATTCATTGGCTTGGAGAAAGAAGGATCTAGAATTAAGTCATCAGTTGTTTTTGGCCTGGACCACTTAAGTTATTAGGATTGAGGAATTTAATCCCTTTTCCTTGATGTTCATGTAGTCGTTCTTCGAGTTTCTTATAAGGTAACAGAGCATTTAATTCCTTTTTACAGTTCCCCACAAGCTCTGTGTTTTTTAGTAATTTTCTAGAACTGCTTCACAGTTGCACAGTGTGAAAGTAGTGTTGTACTTTCCTACAGATTTATAAGATAGAAGTCAGTGTTTACACATAGGAAGGGATGGCTGTAGAAAAACTAAGCTGAAGTCTGCTTTGGCAATAAGCAGACCAGTCTGCCTTCCAAGCAGTCAGCACAGTGTGCAGAGCCTTACGACAAGTGCTGTAAAGCTTTTTTGCTCATGGGAAGTATCAGAAAGGTTAATGATCTTCCAGCATTATCTCTCATGAGCTATATATTCCAGTAGTTGGCACACACTGAGGTTGTCAGGAAGGTGTGTTTGAAAGATTGATCTGAGAAGAGTTGGATTTAAATGAGAAGTATGGGTTAGCAGCAAGAAGATTTCCAAGGGAGGCCAGTCTGTCAGGCCAGCTCTTCATTCTCTCATCCCCTTGGCTTTATGAAGCTACAAAATACTGCTGTGAGACCAGGGAGAGATGGCCAGGAAAACCACGTTCTTTTGCATTTCAAAGTGGTTATGAGAGTAAAGTTTGCAAAAGGGTCCTTGCATCCACTGAAAAATGTTTAGGATTCCAGTAACCAAAGCTGCTATAATTAGGGCTTGAACAGCCATCAGGGAAATAACACAAACTGTGCCACTTGGAAGATTTTCATGTCACCCTCATAAAGCACAGGTAAATGACTAGCAGTCAGTGTTATGATCTAGTGCTGGCTGGAAGCTGACCAATGAAGTTAGATTGTCATTCTGCTTTACAGCTCTACTTCTGGTTTTATTCCTTGCTTCATTCTCACTATGTCCACTGTGGCTTTATCTGTTCTGTCTCATATTTTAGGTAGCTTAGATGATCCGCAGAAGAGAAGTGTAGGAATGCTGGATTTGGGTGGTGGATCAACGCAGATCACTTTCCTTCCACGCACTGAGGTAATGTGAACACTGTATGGAAATGTTGGTGCAGAAATCAGTAACTGCTCAGGTTCAGAAACAGGCCAAGGGTGTGATGTGAAGCCTTGCTTCTGACAGAAGAGCCCTTATTATTTGGTCACATACACCTTGTTACAGGCAGTAATGGAGGCATTCACATTCTGCTGGTTGTCTTGTTCCAACTCCATGGGTTGGTGCATGCGGTGAAACTGCCAGGGCTGCTTTGTGTTAGGGACAATACAGCATCCTGAGAGTGTTAATCTTTGACTCTGTTTGCTCTGGGTAAAATGAAGACCTCAAAGGGAATGCTGTTAATGAATCCAAGCCCGACATTTGGCTTATACTGTGTTTTAAGAACATAAGATTCCTTCTCCATCCTTGTTTCTAGCTTTCCCGAGTTCACTGTTTTGCAAATGAATGCAATGAATGCTTTCTTAGGAGCAACTCTCATTATGCAGTTAGAAATACATGCTGATGTTTGTCATTTCAGCTTCCTGTGTTCCTGTGGTGGCATTATTTTAGGTGTTCTGTGAGCAGGAAGACCTGTGTGTATAGAGTAATGAGGTTTTGGCCTTAGCAGAGTTTGTAGTAAAGCTGTGCAGAAGCAGAGGATAAGGATGCTGTATCCAAATGCACAAACCTGAGCTGATCAAGGTGTTGTGCTTTCACAGCAGAGTGCTGGGATGTGAGGAGTTCGGGATGTGGAAATTCAGGACTCAGAGGAGGTGACAAGATACGAGCAGCTAGGCATGAGCAGCCTGTGCTTTGCCCCCTGCTGATGTGGTGCTCTTGGAAAAGAGGCTGCACAGTGCCTTAGACAGTTATCCTTTCATTTCCTCAGACCACAGGCGGGTCCTCACTCTGTTTCTTAGCAAGCACAGTGATGCGCTTTTCCTCCAGCTTGTGGCAGTTTGCAGCTGAATTCACTGGAGAATTACATGCCCAGTTTTCTCATTATTTGCCATAGTTTTACCTCATAGAGATCATATGAAGAAGCAGTTTCTGTATCAACTCGACAAAAGCAGTTAAGAGCTGGAATAAGGATTCCTTTCTAATTAAAATTACCGACCATTTTGGTGTGAATATAGATGTAATCAGTTCTTACTCTCATGTGAAGTCCATATTTTAACTCTGGGTTTTTTGGTCATCTTAAACGTCAGAGGTCAAACTAAAATACTCGAGAAGCCATTCTTTGTCTCTGAACCATGCCTGGACTGTTCTACGTTTGGAAGGCTGAAAGGTTTGAAAGGTTGTGTTGCTGATGTTTGCCATTGCTGGCAGTAACCTTGCCATAACATCTTTGTCTCCCTCAGGCAACTCTCCAGACATCACCAGCTGGCCATACAACTTCATTTCAGATGTTTAACAGCACCTACAAGCTATATTCCTACAGGTCAGTTGTGAGAAAGAGGCCATACTGTAAAAATAAATTACTTTCAGTGAAGCCAGTGAGACCCAGGCATTTTGCTGAAGTTCAGATGAGTCCTGAGAAGTGGAGAAACCTGAGTCAAGTCACCGTCCACACAAGCTCTTGGAGTAGGGAGGGAGCTGTGCAGATCAACTGGCAGGCAAGCAGTCTGATGGCTGAGAAAATGAGGGGCTTTAGCTCCACCTCTTGCTTTGAAAATGCCTCTGTACCTGCTGTTTCGGGCAGAGGGAAGCAGCTCCTTCCCACCTGTGTTTGCTGTGGAATGTTTTGGGGCTTAGAAAAAGTCAATGCTACGTGCTGGAGGTTGTGCTGACTTTGAGGAGGGTAAGAGAAAGGTTAGAAGAATGCCTGAAGCATTCCCAGTCTTTCAGGAGACAGATTATAGTTGACAGCTATTCACTGTGCTTTTACAAGGACAGATCATCCTTCTGGGTAAGGATAATATGACACTGGGCTGTCACACCATTCCCCTTATGGACATTAGCTACCGACTTGAGCTGTTTTGCTGGGACCACATAGAGGAAACAGGCATGTCCTACCCAAGCTGTCAGTGGAGTATCAGAGGAAGGATGCTTGTTGTTCACAGAGGCTTTTCTTCCCTTTGCAGTTACCTGGGACTTGGGCTGATGTCGGCAAGGCTCGCCATTTTAGGAGGAGTTGAAGGAAAACCCTGTAAGTTACAGGCACTCAAGTCTTGGCTCTGGGTAGAGAGCGCACTGCTGTGTTGTAGAGAAAAAGGTCATCTGTCCCCTTCCCACTGAAGTGAAGGTGCCTGAGTGGTGGCAAATTCCTGTCGCCATGGCTGACTGTATTTGAGACAAATATACAAAGTGACACTAACGGATCCCAGAAGACATGGATTCCTGACAACCTTAGAGGTTGTGGGACCCTAAAGCCACGACTGGTACTTAGAGATGCATTACTAAGCATGTGGTTCAGAAAAAAGCAGGGCTGGGGATGAGGATGCTAAAATTAACTCCTCGTGTTTTTCTCTAAAGTGCCTTTATTTTACTTCTGCAGTAGGAGAAGGTGAGGAACTGATCAGCCCTTGTTTACCACCTGGCTTCAAATCTGAGTGGCAACATGCTGAGATATTGTACAAAATTAAAGGACAGAAGGCAGGTATAGTGCTTTATCACTGTCTCTTCCTGTCTAGGCCAGCTAGTAGCAAAGTAAATTATATATTTTCAGCTTCTTGGAAATTATCTGTGTACTCTTCTGTCCAACTTTCTTGATATGCATTCTACAAATGTTGCCTCTCATGCTGTGGTGTGTCTGTCCAGTCAGTAAAGCTGTTAGTAGTAATGCAGTTGGAACTGGGCACTCCCTTTTGATATCCATCTGCCTCAAATTGTATTGTTCATCCCTGATGTCATAGAATCATAGAATCATAGAATCACCAAGGTTGGAAAAGACCTAGAAGATCATCCAGTCCAACCATTCACCTATTCCCAATAGCTCCCACTAAACCATGTCCCTCAGCACAACATCCAGCCTTTCCTTGAACACCCCCAGGGTCGGTGACTCCACCACCTCCCTGGGCATCCATTCCAGTGCCTGACCACCCTTTCTGAAAAGTAATACTTCCTCATGTCCAGCCTGAATCTCCCCTGCCGTAGCTTGAAACCATTCCCCCTGCTCCTATCACTAATGACATGAGAGAAGAGGCCGACCCCCAGCTCACTACAACCTCCCTTCAGGAAGTTACAGAGAGCAATGAGGTCTCCCCTGAGCCTCCTCTTCTCCAGGCTGAACATTCCCAGCTCCTTCAGCCTCTCCTCATATGGCCTGTGTTCCAGACCCCCTCAACCAGCTTTGTTGCCCTCCTTTGAACACGTTCCAGGGCCTCAATGTCTTTCTTGCAGTGAGGGGCCCAATATACGTGTCACGTATATGGTTCCAACCTGAGGATGGTCAGAGCTAACACTGGGAGAAGATGCAGGTGTGTTGTTTCAGTTCTCTGTTAAGAACGTGTAAGAATTCAGTAAGTGCTACTGTGTGAAAGGGAGCCTGTCTCCTTGTACTTGCTACAGCAACTGTGTTTGTTTAGCCTACCTGTCATATCCCGCTTGTCTTTGCATTCTTTTAGGTGAGCCTCTGTATGAATCTTGTTCTAACAAAGTGGCAAAGATGCTCTACAAGAAAGTACATAAAGCTGAGGAAGTGAAGGACTTGGACTTTTATGCTTTCTCCTACTACTATGACTGTGCAGCAGAGGTTGGTCTCATAGGTATGTCTGTTTTCATTTCATTTCATTTAAAATGACAGGTTCTGAAACAGACGGTAGTAGTGATACACATCATGATGCTGTCCTGAGCTGTCATGGGTACTGAGGTACACTGATCTCAAGTGGATATTGAATGCTATTGCATTTCTTTATAGAAGAAACTGAGGTTGTGAAATAGGACCTCTGACTAGGAGGGACAAACTTAACCCCTCCTCTTTGTTTCATGGATAATTTCAGATTTAATATGTTAGATCTGGCCAAAGGTGTTAACAGTGTGCAAGCATCACAGGACAGGGTAGTAAAGACATGTGGAAGTGTGAAAAGTCTTTAAACTGTTTCTTTAGGAAACTAGTTTTAGGAAACTAAATTCTTCATAAAATGAGGTTTTCAATCTAAAAATCCTTAATAAAGGTTCTTGTACCTTTAAAGCAACTGTGAATTTTGTCATCGATTTCAGGCTTACTTCCAAACAACTTTTATGACCTCTTTTTACAACTTGAACCTACTATTGCCTTTACACAAAGCACACAAACTTATGACTCTTTTTCTTTCAGATAAAGAAAAAGGAGGAAGCTTAACGGCCAATGATTTTGAAGTTGCAGCTAAGTATGGTAAGTAAAAGACACAAACAGGACTAGTAATTGTGTGCAAATTTACGTGACAAATGTCTGAAATGCAAAGAAGCCTCTCTTTTTTTTTAAGTAAATACTGAGCACCTCTTTTTGGAGAATCTGTGCTTATTTCTGCTTGTTTCTGAAAATCTCAACTTTTTATTTTTGTGATTTAGTTTTCTTGTAACACATTTAAAAGCTCTGTTGATAATTACTAGTAAACTTGCCAGTTAACACTGCATGCAAGTAACCTGTTCTAATAATCCTGTGTATTTTTTCTTTTGTTCATGTGTTTGATTGCTAGTTGGAAACAAGAGGAAGCTGATTCGTAGCCTCTTTTGCTTCATTGGCTGTAGAGAGAATTGCCTCAGATTTACAAACGTAATCATTCCTTTTTTACTGCACAGGCTTTGATCAAACTGGGTTACAGAATCACAGAATCACAGAATCACAGAATCACCTGGGTTGGAAGGGACCTCAAGGATCATGTAGTTCCAACCCCCCTGCCTAGCAGGGCCACCAAACACACACATTCAGATCAGGTTGCCCAGGACCCCGTCCAACCTGGCCTTGAACACGTCCAAGGACGGGGCATCCACAACCTCCCTGGGCAGCCTGTTCCAGGGCCTAACCACTCTCCTTGTGAAGAACTTCCCCCTAACATCCAACCTAAATCTTTCCTCCTTCAACTTTGATCCATTTCCCCTAGTCCTGCTGTTGTCAGCCCTTCTGAAGAGTTTACTCCCCTCCTGGGTGTAGGTTCCCTTCAGGTATTGATAGGCTGCAATGAGGTCGCCCCGCAGCCTTCTCTTCTCCAGGCTGAACAAGCCCAACTCCCTCAGCCTGTCCTCATAGGGGAGGTGCTCCAGCCCCCTGATCATCTTAGTCGCCCTCCTCTGGACCCTTTCCAAGATCTCTATGTCTTTCTTGTACTGAGGGCTCCACACCTGGACACAGTACTCCAGGTGGGGCCTCACAAGAGCCGAGTAGAGAGGGACGATCACCTCCCTCTCCCTGCTGACCACCCCTCTCCTGATGGAGCCCAGGATCCCATTTGCCTTTCGAGCTGCCAGAGCGCACTGCTGGCTCATGTTAAGTCTCTCGTCCATCAGGACCCCGAGGTCCTTCTCTGCCGAGCTGCTCTCAAGGCCCACTCCTCCCAGCCTGTACGGGTGCCTGGGGTTCTTCCGGCCCAAATGCAAAACCTTGCACTTTGCCGTGTTGAACCTCATTAGGTTCACCCGAGCCCAGCCCTCAAGCCTGTCGAGGTCCCTCTGAATGGCATCCCTTCCTTCCGCCGTATCAACCGCACCACTCAGCTTGGTGTCGTCAGCAAACTTGCTGAGGGTGCACTCAATTCCCTCATCGATGTCATTAATAAAGATGTTAAAGAGCACCGGTCCCAAGACAGACCCTTGGGGGACACCACTTGTTACCGGCCTCCACCTGGACATAGAGCCATTGACCACCACCCTCTGTCTGCGGCCTTTCAACCAATTGCTTATCCATCGGGTCGTCCACCCATCAAATCCACTTCCCTCCAATTTGGAGATGAGGATGTGGTGGGGGACCATGTCAAAGGCCTTGCTCAGGTCCAGGTAAATGACATCGGGTTGGGACTTTTTGGTAAACTTTATGAATCACTGAGCAATTGTTGCAGTTCTAACTTCTGAACTACTTTTTGTATGATCCATCTTGAGAAAGGAACTGCTTTTTATTTTAAGTTTCTTTGTTATTTTTTTTCATCAGCTGTTGAATGCATACGATTGAGGAACTTTCTAATGGGAAGAAAACAAACTGCTCAGCATTCAAGCTTTATTGGGATAGGGTGGAGAGTTTTCACAATGTTTGTTTTTCCAAGTTGCTGACAACTTTTTTTCTGCACAAAGCAGATGTAGGCACACTTGAAATTGTTGATATTTTAAAGTTTTACAGTAAACATGAGAACAGTTGGAGGCCCATTTTTCTACTTGCCCTTGGAAGTACAGTAAACTCAGCTGTCTTTGGGTAAGAGAGGCAATGCTTTACTCTTCCTTCTTGTGTGCCCAAGTTCCTGGGCATCTGCAAACACAAGGATATCTTTTGAATGCTATTTTAACAGGTTTCATAGATGTGGAACACAAGTTACAAGAAGTGGTCTAAGGATTTGTTTGAGGTTTTTCAGAGCTGGCTGATGCTAGGCCTGAGCTCACCATGAACATTCTGACACCTCTTTCTTTTTATTTAGTGTGCAAGACCATGGAAATCAGCCCTGGAAGCAGCCCCTTTCTCTGCATGGACCTCACATACATCACCTTCCTCCTGCAAGAACTGGGCTTCCCAAAGACCCAAGTCTTTAAGGTAGTGCACAAAAACAGATCGCTGAGAGTGGGCAGAAGATGGCCAAGCCATCATGCCAGTAGTTCGGATTTCCCTTCTTGCTACAACACGCTTTATGATTTGGGTGGAGTGACACTATAATGGTGCTAACTAGTTGTCATAGCCTTCAGCACTATATTCACCTTACGTTTTTGTTTTCACAGAAAATTATATTTAAACTTCTTTTTTTTTTTTTTTTTTTTTTTTTCCAGCTTGCCCGGAAAATCAACAATGTTGAGACGAGCTGGGCATTGGGAGCCACCTTTCATTACATTGACTCACTCAATAGACTGCAGTACTAAAGCTCCTTGAAGGTGACTTTTGGGGATGTCGGGTTTTGGAAGCACAACACAGGGGAAGGATTTTTGGCTTCCTGAATCCCTTGGGAGGTTCTCAGAAGCTCAGCTCCTTCCCTGCCAAGTCCCATCCATCACAAGCTCTTTTCTTACAGTGCATAGTGCAGTTTCTATGGAATAAGCCTTGATTGTACAGCATCTCTTGTCAAATTCCTGTAAAACTTGATCATCATTGAAGGAGAACCAGCACTCTGCAGGACACCTATGATCTCTATGAGAAAACCACACCTTTTTGAAATGTGCCTGTACTATTCACTTGTACTGTGCTGAAATCAACGTAGTAAATGGTCAATACAGAGGGAACTCTTTATGCTCTTTTCAAGGTGTTTTTTCCTGTTTGTCAGCAGTTTCCAGTGATAATTTTTATTTTGCTACTTGGATGTTTGAAAAAGAGCTTAAGTGTGCATGTGAATACAATACATTTACACAGATGTGCTGCTGACAGGCAGCAGCTTTGAAATGCAGTGTGGAAGTCTCAGCTCTGGTTTTCAATTGATGAAGCAGCAAAGTTTGGGAGCGCTGTAGAAGCAGGATACAGACAAGCATGAATCAGAGCCTATATCTGCTGTAGGACTAAAGTATGGGTGTCCAACCTTTTGGCTTGTGTGAGCCACACTGAGTGAAGATGAATTGCCTTGAGCCACATATAAAATAAATAATATACTTAATATATGGGGTTTTTTTTGTTTTTTTTTTTTAATTAAAACATTGAAAAAAAGGTAATAAAACCATAGAACCAGTAGGATGTTTGACCTTGTTTTTGTGACATTAACACATCAGTCAGGTTTGATGGCAATGGTTGCAATTCATAGTGAGCTCATTGGTGTTTGTCAGAGATTTTTGATGGAAGTTTTACTCCTCCTGTGCTTTGTCCATTGTTCACAGATATATGTACTGCCATAAAGCGATGGCATGGATAAGGTGTGACTGTGAAGGGATGGGTATTTCTCTCTGGCAAGAGGAAGAGGTCTGACCAACAGAGGTCTGGTAGATAGACATGAAAATCTGAGTTGAGTATTGGCTTGCAACTCTGTACATTGCATTTGAAAATTCACAGGTAATGTATTTATGTCAACTGAAAATGGAGTCATGAATACACCAAAAAATTGATCAACTTTTCAGCAATCTTAAAACCTGCATTCCTTATTAAAATAGAAAGCATGGCTGTGGGTTGGACATGACTGAACTAGAGGCTGGCCTAGAGGCCTTGAGGCGTAGGGGCCAAGAGACCAAGAGGGAAAACGAGAAGCTGGCCAAGACGGCTAGAGACCTTGAAATCATTTTTTTCAATTAAAAGGCAGGCTTGGAGGGCAAGAGAGTTATTGGCCAAGACAAATGTCTGGGGGCAAAGACATCTACAGGCCCAGAGGCTGGCTGTGGGCCCAGAAGGCCTTGAGGCCTAGAGGGAGACCTAGAGATCAAGAGGTCAAGGGGGATGCCTGGAGGCTTTGAGGCCCAAAAGGGAAGACTGGACATCAGGAGGCCTGAGGGAGGCTTACAAGCCTTGTGGCCTACAGGGAGGCCTCGATGCCGGTCGTCTGTGAGGGTAGGATGCCACCTGAGCTAGACTGCGAGCAGCCAAAGGGCTAACACATCGGCCCAGACGTCCTGAGGCCCAAAAGGATGCCTGAAGGCCTACAGACTTAGAGACTAGCCTAGGAGACTCGAGATCCAGAGGGAGGCCTAGAGTCCAAGAGAATGAATGGCCTGGAAGGTGGCATGCAGGTGAGAGGAAGGCCAAGAGGCCAACCTAGAGACACACATGCCCAGCAGCCTTCAGGCTGAGTCCCAGAGGCATTCAGGCACAAAGGTGGCCCCGGAGGCCTGTATGCTTACATATCTGTGGGAGGTGATGAGTCTTTGAGTGACAGAGGACAAGAGAACTAGAGGCCAGGATGTGTAAATCAAACTTTGTGGGTTTTCCACTCTGAATGAGGATCTGTGAAACAGAACCTTTAGTTTTGACTTTGCTTGTCCCTTTATAGTGATTCAGGCATTGAAGTTACTTGAATTTCAGTCCTGGATCCAGAGTTCTCTTGAAAATGGTTGATAACACAACTCAGAGTTCAGATGTGAGTGTAACTGGTTTTCAGGATATTTGAAGATCTGACTTTTGAATATGAAAATTATTTCCATGTTAATTAAATCTAAGGCTTTCTAGGGACTGGTATGCTATGTGATAACTTCCTCTTTCAGCAAAATGAGCTGTTCCTTCTTAATCAAGGCAAGTGAACTATAGAAATCTGAAGGCTGAATGTGCTCTGGTTTCTGGCCACATGGGGACAGACAGTATTCATCAAATAATGCACTCAGTCCTATGTGGAATGAGTTAATCAAAGACGCTCAGCACCATACTATTATCTGTCTCTGGAAAGTCTAAGGATAAAAATTAATCCTACTCAGTACAAATCAGATACAAAAATATATCCACTGAAGTAGCACAGAGGAGATCAGAATAAATACATGCCTATGTTCCAGATGCAGCACAGGAAAAAAAAAAAAAAAAAAAAAAAAAAAAGAAGTCATTATTGTAGTGTTCATATTTTTAAAATGTACTTTAAGTTAGGAGATTGAAGCAATGTATAAAGTAGCATCTAGTGCCTGCGAGGGGCTTCAGCCCTACAAAAAACTTGGAAGAGATAACTTGAAAGGGAAGTCTTGACAGAGCAGAAATAAAAAATGTGCTGTGGGGCCTCTCGGTCATGTTCATAGATTTGGACCATGCAGACTTAATGGCAAGCAGCTAAAACCTTTTGAGCGTAAAGATTTTCTTTTTAACATTACATCTTGCAGACACACTGCAGGACTGCATAATGAGAAACTGTTGTCTACTTCAGAATGGAAGGACTGATGGCCCTGTCACACTGCCTGGTTGGCACCTCTACAGGCAGCAAGCTTCATCCAGGCTGAAATGCAGGTGACTGTGGCAGGTTAGGGCTGGGGATCCTTTGGCCATCAAAGCGGGGAGTTTTGACCTATAAATGGTTACCCTGCCGTCACAGGATAACTTAGTTGTATGCTTCTTGTTTCCACATTAATTATAACTCACATGGGTCTGTTAGTCCTGCCAGGCTTAGCATCCCACTGCTCCTAAGAGATCCATGAACACTTGCTGACATACCTTTACCAGGCTTCTTCTATTTTATTTAAAAACATGGTTTCATTTAACTTCTCCCAAATCAATGGCATGTCAAAGGAGAAATACAAAAGCCTAGAAGCCCTTCTAGCTGATGGTAAATTCCTGAGTATCTCCTGCCATCTTGTGGGTTTACATGATCTTTCACTCCGCTATTTGTGACACAAAAGTTTTGCTTGTGGACTACCTGACTGCCGAACAAATGAAACACTAACCCTAGCACCCTATTCTGCAGGAGGTCTGGGGGAAACCTTAATGGGACTGCTCTAAACCTCTTCTTGTATGCCTGCGGTTGGACTGGCCCATGAATTTATCTAATCATTATTGGAGGAAGGTATCAAAGTACAATGAGGTTTCTTCTGCTTTTGGTCATGCTATGGAATGCCCAGCTAAGGAGAACTTTGCAGCAGCACTGCCTCTACATTCAGCAGATTTTACCAGAGGTCAAGTAAGGGAACATGAGGTTGAAAGCCAAGGGCTCAATCTGCAACACCAGCTAGCCCCATTTAACCCCACCTAACCCCACCTATAGCTGTGTGGGCAGCCTCAGTCAAGGCTCTGTTGACAGAGAAAGAAGCTGGTAATTTCTGAGTGATAATCTCATATCTAGTTCTTTCTTAAAACGCCAAGCTCTACATGGATTAGCTCTGTGTAAATAAAGCAAAAGCAACTGCTGGAACATTAACTGCACAGTCTCACAGAGCGGCTGGTTGTGCAATAGTTAGAGCGCAGCAAAGCTGGCTGTAGCAGTGGGAGACTGGAAAGTCACTGTGACTTGATGTCATTCTTGAGTGGGTGGCAACAATACCTTCAAGAAGACATAACTATTTTCACACCCATGCATACCATCAGCCTTGTAGTTTTTTGTTGGGGTTTTTTGGGTCTTTTTAGGTAGTCATCTGAAGACAGTTTCATTTCCTTCAGGCTACTTCACTTGAGATCTTCTGCAGATTTTGTGTCATTGATTCTACAACATGGAAAATCTCCTTTCAGCTATTCAGCTTTAGATTTGCTCAGTTTGAAAACACAGAAAAAGAGAGAGATTTCCTGAGGACATTGGTGTGTGATAATACACAGTAAGAGATTGTCATGTCTTTAGTGTCAGAACTCTTTTCAAGTGGGTTTCATTGGTGCTTTCCAACAGCCAGGGAAGCCAAGTGGTCTTGCCTGCCATTCCAGAAAGGAATATTTTGGTAAGCGTAGATTTGTCCACTTATGTTTCCAGACTTAATACCGTTCCTCTGTTACCTAATATCCTATCTCTCTCTGTGTCCTTAAGTAGTGAGCACTCAGAAAGCTGTCCAGTACTCCCTTTGAGTACACTGTTAAAGTGGAGCACTAGGACTCAGCTTCAAGAAAAGCTCCATGTAGTGCCCAGGGCAGCTGCTCCCTCCAGACACAGCAGCCCCATGCATAGTCCTTGGGCTTTTCCCTCAGCCATGGAAGACTCAGGTCAAAGGAGCAGCTGACACCCATTCCCACTAGCTCTGAGCCTGGCCACCACCCATGTGCCAAGCCCTGCACTCCTCCCTGCTAAGGCTCTGCTGGTTGAAACACAGATTTTTTGCTGTTGTCATGTCAGCTTCTTCCTTGTTCTTCAGGAATCCCCAGGGGAATGCAGCTTTTTTCAGACCTTTAAGGCTCCTCCTTGGCAGGTGGCTGGACTGGTCCAGCTCTTCCCACTAAGCTGCCCTGGGTTCAAGTTGTGTTTTGAGGGCAGTTCCGCAGTCTCACCCCTGGGTGCGTGCTGGGGCCAGCATTGTACATTCATTTATGTCTATAAATACCTGAAGGAAGGGTGCAGGCAGAGCCAGGCTCTTTTCAGCGGTGCTCAGTGCAAGGATAAGAAGCCAGAGGCACAAACTGGAACACAGGGGTGACCCCTGGCCATCAGGCAGCACTTTTTGTACTCATCACCCCAAATCTGTGTCTTGTAGTTCAGGACAGGCATTTACTGCATCCCTGCGGAGCTCTCTCCATTCCCACCTGACCGGCAACCTGCTACAAAAGCAATTGGAGTATCGAATTGCCCAAGTTGTAAACACAAGAGCAACATAGCTGGTGTAGGGTCTGCAAGACAAGGAACTTGAGGAGTGGCTGAGCAAACTGCTCAACTGTTGCTGAGTCTGGACGACATCCCATCACTCCCTTTAAATTCCTGAAAGAATGTTGCAGTGTGGATAATGTCAGCCTCTTTTCACAGGTGACAAGTGAAAAGACGTGAGGCAATAGCCTCAAGTTGTGTCAGGAAGGCTATAGATTGGATATCAGGAAGAATTTCTACATGGAGAACTGGAAAAGGCTGCCAAGGGAAGTGGTGTCCCTGGAGGTATTAGGAGACGTATGGATGAAGCCCTTAGGGACATGGTTTGATGATGGGACTAAGTAAGTCAAGGTGACAACTGCACTTGATGATCGTGAAGGCTCTTTCATCCTAGATCATTCTATGATTCAAAAGATCTGCAACCAACTCACAGACACCACAATTACACCTCCTGCAGCCTCACCACCATGCTGAGGGCTGCTCAGGATACCTGTCCTGTCCAAGGTCTAGAGAGCAGCTACTGCTGCTGTCACAAGAAACAAAATGTGGACAACTGAATGTGTCCCTCACTGCCACTGCAAGGAGGCTGGTGGGGCTGCATGGGGATCCAACAGCATGTTCTCAGAGGCAACCAGTCCTACCTCCTGCTCTAGAGCCCACACCAAAGACCTGTGGCTGGGAGCAGCTGCCACAGTATGAGCAGCATTCACAAGCTGACAGGCATTTCTTTTATGGGTTGCTGGTTTCTGGCAATGGATGGCCACAATGACCACACTGTTCCTTTCCATTTATTGATGTTTAATGTCTCCAATGCTGTGATTTTGCTGGGCATGACTTGAGCATGGTAATAAGAAGTTAATGCTCCATATAAAGGGAAGGGGAAATGACTCACTCCCATGAACTCCAGGCTAAAAAAGTAGAACAGACGAAGCCAAATGTTTTGGTAAATCTCATTGTTTTAGTTTTCATTACGTTGACCTGAGACAACAAAGATGGTGGCCTTACAACTACCCCTGACCATCCCAGGATGCACGACCCCTCCATGGGATATCTCCCAGCCCTGAGCTGGTAGCTGGTATGCCTTGGTTTGCTCTGCCACCTGCCACTGTGCTTTCTGTCGCCAGCTCATGAGGGTGGAGGACAAGCTGAAGTGCTGTGCAAACAGAGGGAATGAGAGATGCTGCAAGCAGGCTCAGCACAGATCACCCTTGTTGGCCTTGGATGTAAACCAGTGCCACCCACCACCGCCCAAGGACTTGCCCTGCATGGTGTGTCCCTGCTTGTGACTGAAACGCCCCAGGGCTGCCCACAGCTCTTGAAAACCTCCTGCAGGCCACGACCAGTCACAGAGCTATACCTGATCACAGGCTCTGGCCACATCTGTGGCTCTCGAAGCTGTCTTTGCCTGCCACTGAGAAGGAGGGAGGGAAGAGCAAGAAGGAGGGGAGGGAAGGAGGAAGAGAGAGAGGGAGGGAAGGAGGCTGTATTTGGCAGCTGCCTCCAGAGAGACCAACCATCAATGCGGGAGAGCTTCACAATGTCCTCAGCAACTTCCAGGAGCTCTTTACCCAGCGGCCTGTCCGTCTTTACAACTTTTCCAGATGTTCTCTTCATCCCCGAAATGGTGAGTGCCAGATTTTCCCTGGGAAGGGCAGATGCTGCTCACGGGTCCCCCAGCACACTTGGTGCTGTGGGTGTCCAAGGGATGACTCTCAGCAGACAGCATGTGGTCCAGGGGCCCAGACAGGGCCCTGAGCTGCAAGCATCTGGGGGCAGCCCCCAGCTCTCCCTTAAAGAAAGTCACAAGCCCTAACTGGGGGCTCTGTAGCTCCCTTCAGTCTGTGGGGGGTGGTCATGGCACCTTTAAAAACCTTCCGTAATTTGTTGCTTAGCAGATTTGCAGGGGTTGCTGGTGGTTTTAAGGTAGATAGTCAAATTGACCCAACTGGTAGGTGATTTTTAGCAACAGATGCACACAAAGGATAAAATGCTTTCTTAAAGCAGGGAGATAACTGCATCAGCAAAAAGCTTCAGCTGCTGAAGCTACAGTTTTCCTGGGCTGGAGGTGAAGCATTGGAGCTGGGCATGGGGCTGAGTGAAGGGTGAGTGAGCACCTTGCTCCTTCTTCTGTTCTCACTGAGTGGAAGGAGATCAGTATATTAAAGGATTTGGCATAGGTAATTAAATGCTGTTGCTGTGAGCACTGACTGAAAGTTTCAAGGAGAAACCTTTTCCTGTGTCCTCTGCTGATGAAATTTGCTCTTCTCACATCAGTTCAAGAGGCTTTCTCCTATGTCTGAACACTTTCATTCAGCACTGAGTGGTTTGGCTGCATACCGTAGGACAGAGCTCATGATTTCACACCCTAAATTCAATTTTGCCATCTGGAACCAAAGTTCTACCCAGTTCACATCCCTGGGACTTAGAGCACTGATTTTCTCCTAGGGATATCAGGCAAGCAAAAAGGAATTGGGCTAAAGCAGGCATTACCGTGCAGAGAAAGGCTTTCCCTCTGGCCACCTAGTGTGCTCTGAAGACTCGGTCCCTCTCTGAGAACAAGGTCCGGGTTTCCTGCAGCTGCATGGAGTACACAAAGTCCTGTGGAGGTTCTGGCTATGCTGACAGTGGCGAGGCTGTTCTGGTGCTGAGCTTGATGCCCACCGAGGCGTGTTTATGGCACTGGCTGTACCTTGAGCTGTTTGCTTATAATTCCTGACTGCAGGGGATTTGGCATGCAGCTTGTTTAATGAGCCATAAGGAAATAGCCCATCTCATGGCTTGGGGAGGTCTGGAAACATACGTCCTAAAGGCTTGGCACCACCCAGGGAAAGAGGAATGCAGTAGAACTGGGTCCTCTGTCAGTGGGGTAGAGGGTTCTGGGTTGTGCAGGTGTATTTTTTCCACTGTGTACAAAGGAGGTGGCTCCTTAAATCATAGCATTCAGGAGAAGTGAAGAGTTCTCAATCCCAGAATCCAAGGTTGCCTACAGTGCAACTGCAGGGTGTGGGGGAGAAGCATTTTGAATGGTCCTACAGCTGCTGCAGAAGGTTCTGCCCGCAGCTCAGATGACTACATCTGGGTGTTGACCTCTCATCTGTATTCTGAGAGGTTGGGTTTAATTCTTAGCATCTATTGTATTTGAAGTTTTCTGTATATCTGGACAAAATCTTGCACTTGTGTCTGTGGAGTGAAGAAAATGAAATAAACTGAAAACAGATTTGCTTGTATTTTAAAAGGCTATTTAAAGTTAAGTTTTTCTCAGACTGCAGTCACCAATGCACTGTGAATTTTTGCTGAAAGCCTCTTGGTCCAGTCTTGATTTTTTACGAGTCAACGGAACAGCAACACCATAAAATCAGAAAGCCAGCAATCAAATCATGTCAAACATTTACCCGAGTGAGTAATCACATCCCAGAGAAAGGAGGGATGGGAAACCATGAGAAATGAGAAGTCTCCAGGGAATTTTCCTCTATAAAGCTGGGGTGACATGATTGATGCAGCGCTTTCTGAGTGCCATAAATCACAAACTTCTTTTCGACGTGCAGAAGTACCCCAAGGAAATGAAAATGCCATGATTGGGATGAGTTGACACTTGGAGGCTGCCAAAGGCTTGAGGAGGGTATGCCAGAGATGGGAACAATCTTAGCTCTGAAGGTTAGCCAGGAAAATTAAGAGCAACTGATGTTCAGGCACAAGCATGCATGGCAGCACTGCTTATATAGAATCAGCATCATTTAGTTTGGAAAAGACTCATCCCATGCAACCATCAACTCTACCAACTCCACCCCTGAATCACATTCTTAAGGCACTCAGCTCAAAGGTGATGACCACCTCATCACAAGGTGATCATGAGGCCACATGTCTGTGCTGCTTGCGTCAGTGGGCTGGGCTTGTCTCCACTCCTTTCAGGGACTCTGGGTGTGAAACAGATGTGCCCTAAAATAAACCTTTGTTTTCAAAACCAGCCTTCGCTAATAGCCTGAAGCAGCAAGGTGGGGAGGGGGGCAATGAACAGTGAACCCCAGAGGTGATGGTGCTTTTTGGGGCCCAGATCAGAGGCAGATGTTCCCAGCTATGTACTCACATTCAAGTAGATGCTGGGAAGAACTCAAAGGCCTTGCCAGACTATTGCCACATACAGTGCTAGTACCAGAAGTGTGTATGGCTTTTTGCTTAGCTCTGGAGTAGGCAAGGCATTCCACACTCACCTTTCTCTCACTTTTGTTTGCAGATATTTGGGGGCCTTGTCTGGATCCTCGTTGCCTCCTCGAAGGTTTCAAAAGAATCACTGCAGGGCTGGGTGATGTTTGTTTCTGTGTTCTGCTTTGTCTTGACTGCTGTACTCCTGTTCCTCTACATGTGCGGGGCGCATGGGGGCAGTAGCTCCTGGGTCACTTTGGTAAGTGCATGTAGCAAACCTCAGGACCTGTTCCTTTTATCACTGGTAATGATTGTCTCCTTTTTTTCCTACTGTACTCCGAATCACAGCCTGGGATTTGTTCACGTGGGTTCCTTTTGCTTTCTCCTCTGCAGCGTGACCCTGTCTTGGGAATAACTGCGTGTAATCTTTATTTTCTTAGGATGTCATCTGTCAGGAGACAGCAGCTCTGTTCTACTTCAGTGCTTCTGTGTTGGAAGCCATTGCTACCAAAGAAACATTGGCTGTAACTCTGTTTTACCGGGAGAATATTTCTGCCTCTGTGAGTGCTGTGGGTGGCCCCCTGGGCAAATCTTGACTCACAAAAACCATTTGGAGGAGGGAGGAGGAAATCAGACCAGTTCTATTATGCTCAAATGTCTTGAAATGTGCAAAAAGTTAACAGAAATATAATGCATTACAATGTATTTGCACAGATCAGGAACTCATGCAACAAATAAAAAATAACTGCCTGATGTTTTTTTTCCTTTGCAGGTATTTGCATTCATAGCTACTCTGTTGTATGTGATCCATATTATATACTCTCTCCGCCGATGGAAATCATCCTAATGATCTGTCCTTGCATGTTCTATCTTGTGGTCACCCTACAAACACAGAAGTTATCCAATGACCGCAGTTTCCAGGCTGGAATTAGGGCTTGGTTTTTAATGTACATACCATAAACAAGCAGCTTTTTATGTGGAACCATGGCAACGAAGACCAAGAGCCTGTCAGAGAAACCTGTCTGCTGACACGATCTATTTTTCTTCAGTCTCCTGGTTGGGTTCAGCTTGATGCTGGTAACCAGGGCCTCAGCAGAAAACCCAGCTTAAATTAGAACAATACAGTTGGATTTAAAATGTCAAAATCTCCCTGAATCCTTATGTACCCCTATGACTTCACAGTCTTAGTGGAGTCTCTGACTCCAAACTGTCAGAGGAAGCCTGAACAACTGGTGCTACACAGCAGAAGAATGAAACCTGGTCATTTTGGTTGACATGCATCTGTGTAAACCTCTTTGCCTTCCTCATTTGCTGTGCCAAAAGAACTTTCCATGCCATTTTTGAAAATGCCACTTGTGACTTGTGAGAAAGAGTAAAGGCAGTATTTAATTTGCCTCAGGTGCAGTGAATTCCCTGCAACACCTGAAAGGTACTGCTGAATTACAAGACACAACTATAACCCCAGGAATTATTGCTGCCACGGATTCCCCCATGAAACACAACTAAGGAAACGTACTATAGATACTACAGCAGAATTATATGGATAATTAGAATAACATCTCAGATAAGCAGAGGCAATTAGCTCTTGTCTTCAGCATGTGACTGTTCTCACATATACTAGCACTATGTCATTAATAAAGATGGATTTCCTATGATTTTACAACCAGACAAAGGCCACTGTCACTAACTTCCCCTTACAGTTGATGCATACAGTAGCAGGGCAGCGCCCAAGAACGAGGCACAAATCCAGGCATGAATAAAAGAATCCTACAATAACATGGGTTGGACCTCAAAGACCAACTGGTTCCATTGTGGGCAGGGCTGCCCCCCCAGTTCAGGCTGCTCAGGGCCCCATCCAACCTGGCCTCCAGCACCTCCAGGGATGGTGCACCCACAGCTTCTATGGGCAGCAGCCCCAGTGCCTCACTGCCTTGTTAGTGAAAAATTTCTTCCTCGTGTCTTACAAATCTCCCCTCTTTTAGTTTAACCATTACCTCTTGTCCAGTTGCTACAGGCACAAGCTAGCGTCAGCGATGATGTTCATCTGATCACATAATTTACCCCAGAGTATTATGTCAAGTGAGTTATTTTTTGGGTCTAATTCCCCCATTTAAAAGAGTGCTTTTTTTTTTAGAGAAACCTAAAATGCAGCGGTAGCAGATTAGTCCTCTAAGCTTGTGGGGCTACCTTCAGTCTGAAACTCATGAATAACAACAAGGACTGTGGAAGGGAAGGGAAGCAGAACTGGACATAGAAACACCTCTGTTGTTTCATGTCCTGAGGGTTTTGAGGGTTGAAACTTTTAAACTGCAGTATGGAGAAAACACTGGATTCATTTTTTTGTCCTTGCTGAAAACCAGCCTGACCTGTTTTTTCATGCTAGTAACAAAAATGAGCTGATTGCAACAGATGTAGAAAAAAAAATCCTTTTTCAGAGCAGGGAGGCAACTCAGGAGCTGTGTATGACGGCACTACTCAATTCAAGGCACCTGCTGAAACTTATTTCAACATCACATCGTCATGGGGAAGGTGCTGATGTCACACTTTGCACTGCTCTGAACATAGCACAGAAGTATCTTTCTGCAAATATGTGGGGGTCACACTCTGCAGCCTGGAACACAGTGCCTGTTATATTCACATCCAGGCACGGCCGACACCATAGCTCCAAGTGCTGCCTTATGTCTCCCTCACCTCTGCATCCCTGTGCACTACAACTATCCCATTTGCAGCCAGTGTATTGTCACTTAGTCTGTCTCCTCCCCACCTCACTTTGCCTTACTGTTCTTTTCCCTGCAACACACCAGTTTGCACCAGTCTGTGCCGGTTCATTTGTCCACCATGCCCTTCCTTTCAGCCTGCCTGAGTGTGCAGGCTTGGGATTGGGAAACCTGGGGAAGCCTCTGCCTAGGACCACCATGGGATCAAGAGCATCCATACAAACATCTTACGAAGCAGCACTTCACAGCACTTCAAAAGCACAGGGCACACTTCAAAAGTGTGGCACCAAATTGAACCCCATGCAGCCAACCAGCTTGGAGGCAAAGAGTGTTCCTACACCAGGAACAGCTGGGTGAGAGGGAGATGCAGCAGAGCTGCAGGTGAGTTGCAGCAACAGGCATATTCCATGCAAAGAAAAACAGAAAAAAGCACTCAAAGATTTCCACTGCCTGTCACACCCAGCCCTTCCATCCACCCTGTCCAGTATGAGGTCTGTCATGCCCTCTAAGCTGGGCAGCTCACAACAGAGTTCACCCAAAGCTTCACCAGGCCACTTGGACCACATCCATTTGGGATCTGGATGTCTGTATACACAAAGATAAGTTCCTAAAAAGCAAAAGTCAGGTATTTCTGCACCCCTAGCACCTTTCCATCTGCAGAATTCCCTTGAAGACGTAAGTCAGTAAGAGCCCGTTGAAAAAGCCATAAACCAGCCTTCTCGGGGAGCATTTAAAATCCAGTTTCCTAAGCAAAACAAGGGTCTGCAAGCATGCACTGTAGAGATCAGGCAACTATACTGTAGTTAAAAACAAACCAGCCACTTGAAGGTATGTAAAACTTCAGGTCTTTTGATGCAAACAAGATTACAGACGTGTATCATTCATTAACTATGTCCAGATTGTTATCTCGATTGTTCTTGCTAAATTGAAGAATGCCTTAGCTGTAATGTTAGTGGTTACCCAAATGTTTGCATACAGGTACCTCAATTACCTTGCCTCCAGGGATGCACTGAGTTAGAAGCACTTACATTTTCTCCCAAATTGCAGAATTTGCTTTGTCTGAAAGCAAAGAAATTGAACAGAGAATTACAATTAGCACCATGAAAAAGTGCAGGAGAGCCTGCTGTTCTCATTTTACAGCGAGCTTTGTCAGTGAGTGATGAGCTATGATGAGCTGATGTATGCTAGGTAAAGACACATACAATCATCTGTATTAAGATGAATAATCTTGGAAAATGGAAAACCCACAAAAGCTAACTTCTGTGAAAGTATCAAGGTTTCACGTAGGTCTGGAGCAGAGCCTGATTTGTGTCTGCTTCTCTCCCTCCTTAGCCAAACTTTTGGACCATTCCCCACTTCCGATCATCACATGGATGCCATGAGCCCCACTCTGCTCTCTCTCTCATAGTTAATTAAGCATCAAAACCCCATTAACTGTGAGGACAGCAATGACAAAGCACTGCTTCAGATGCATGGCAGTCAACCATGAGTGGCTATCTTGTGGGCTCAAGAAGGGCCTTAAACCTCCTCCAGCTCTTGGGTGATAGATCTCCCAACCACTGAGCTATTCTAGCTTCTAGCACCTACCTCTGCATGCTTCAGTTGGAGATCCACTACATGAAAGGGTTTACTCCTTCTCTGAGAATAAGCACATCACAAACTCTCTTTTTTCTTTCATCTCAACAGCTGTAACACTTTCTAAGTCTTGGACAGAGCTCAAGATATTGCTTTTCTCAGAACCTAATTGGCAGCAACGAAAGCCAAGTCCTGTCCCAGCACATATGCAAAGGAAAGTTAAGTTCTGTAAGAAAGATGCAATTGCAGGTTTTGGATTGCGCTTCCAACGCCAGCTAAAATAGGAGATTGAGAGATTACTGTCTTCAGATATTTGGGCTCTGCTTCAATTGGGGAACTCCCTCAGCCTTCACAACTAGTGTTCGCACAGGTTCAGCTGTTGCCCTTCATCACTGCCTATCTCCTTTGAGCTACAAATCTTCTACCTTCTTGATTTCAGTTGCCCCACTACTCTGCAAAAAAGATGACAACTCCTCCAGCAAATTCATTCTGAGGATTTTTTATTGCTTCCACAATCTTGTATTTTCAGTCGTTTCCCAAGAATTTATGAAGGAAACACGGGATCTGTTGATTACACATCTGCAGGAATCAAGTAAACGCATGCTTGAAGTCAACGACATGTCCATTGGCTGTTTTCTTCCGTATGTTCCTAGCTGAACAGTGATCAGAAGAGTTGTGGGAAAGCAAACTGCTACTGAATGGCAATAATGAGAGCAGCAACACGAACGGTATGAAATCTATTGTAGGCATCTTCTGAAATGTAAGCCTGCCCATTTGGGCTGGGCTTTCACAGCCACATCTCTGAGCAGAAGAGATATAGGTACTGATTTTATTTTTTACCATACTGTCCGCCTAACATTTGCCCAGGGCGATTT